AAATTTCGTATTTTTTGGCCAATGAACTTTTTCCTGTTTTAAGAAACTAGGACCTTCTAGCCATAACGGCTGAGTTAGTTCCTCAATAGTACAACCGCGAGACGCCAAATCTGCTGGGTTTTGCTTTGTTGGAACGTGTCTCCAAGTTACATCGCTTGTGCTCTCTTGAATCTCCGCTACTCTGTTTGCGACAAATGTGGATAAAGTTGAAGAGTGCTTTTCTAACCAATAGAGCACTATTTCTGAGTCGGACCAAAAAGTTATATTTTCAAGCGAGTTTTTGAATAGCGGCTTAACAACTTTCCACAGTTTTGTCAATAGTAGCGCTGCACAGAGTTCCAATCGAGGAAGACTTTTTGTTTTCAACGGCGCTACTTTGGATTTGGCTGTCAATAGATGTGACGTAACAATACTGTTCTGTTTGCTTCGAACGTATATACAACAACCATAAGCTCGTTGCGAAGCATCACAGAAGCCATGTATTTGAACTTTCTCAGTGGGTAATATATTAACAAATCGGGGTACTTCTATTTTGTGTACCTGTGCCAAATTTTCTGCCAAATTTTGCCATGAAGTGCTCAAATTTTGGCGAATTGACTCATCCCATGCCAACTTTAAGAGCCAGAGTTCCTGCAATAAAATTTTGACATGTACAATGATAGGGCAAAGCAAGCCTAGTGGGTCGAATATACGCGACGATACTGATAAGATACTTCTTTTTGTCGCTTTTATATTTAACGAGTTTGGATCAATTTTGAAGTTTATAGTATCTTTCTTAGGAGACCACGTAACTCCGAGCGCCTTTATCGTGCTATTTTCGTCATCTTCCAACGCTTTTTCATAATTCTCCTTTTCTAGTAGACTGGGATGATTGGAATGCCACTTTGCTAGTTTAAATCCTCCAGAGTTTAGAATTTCGACAACTTCTTTTTGGATTTGCTTTAGTTCCGTAATATCATTGGCTCCAGATAACATATCATCCACGTAAAACTCTTCTCGTATAACCTTACAACCGAGTGGATATTGATCTGCAAATATGTCACTCAGTTGTTGTAAACAACGAATCGCTAAAAATGGAGCAGGCGCTGTTCCGTAAATTACTGTATTTAGGCAATACGTTCGAATCGGTTCATCGGGACTATGTCTATATAAAATTAATTGAA